AAATAAATCATGGACTGTCCAATATCGTAATAGTGGCCACATGTGGCTATTTAAATTTAAATCAGTTAAAATTATCTTCAACCAGACGTTCACTTCTTTAGTCACACTAGCCACAAGTCAGGTGCTCAACTTGCGACTAGTGGTTGTAGTCTTAAAAAAGTTAATGGCACAAGTGACAAAATGATACCCTAAAACTCTTAAGGCAGCCCCAAAAATCTTTTGCTGATTAGGACACTAGTGAATTCTTCAATGGGTAGCTTCTCTCTTTCTCAATTGGCTTTCTTTATTCAACAAAACCAAGAATGTGACCCACCCCCCGCCAAAAAATGTTTAGAAATAAGTGAAAACTCTATATATTCACCAGAAGAGTCAGAATTTTATTTTCCTTCTTAACCTGCAATTAGTGATTATGTAATGAAGTAGATGTTCCATGTTCCCGCTAATTTTAGTTCATTATCATTTTCTGGGAACAATCAACAGTTATATGTATTTAGACAGCTATGATTTCTGCCAACCTAGCTGGCTTCAGGAACTATAGAGATTCCATTTTATTTTATGTGAAAATCTGTTTGGGACGATGGCCGTTACTATTCATCTTTTGGCCTTTGTTTCGCATTCGTCTAAAAAGTTAGAGGAGGTTGTCCTTCATAATTAGTGACGTTCATATGTGTTTTTGCTTGTATTATCCATGAAAACTAAATCAGGGTTTAATTCACTGAGTAAAATATATCATTGTTTTATCAGTTCTTAAGAGCAAGAGTGACTTATTGCACAAATAAAATTAAGGAATAATTATCAGATTTTTTTCCCCTTAAATTCCTGCAGACCCATGAATTCGGAATTCCCTTTCTAACTTGGGATTTTTCTTCCCAGGAACACGTTGATTTGCCATGCCTCCCAGCACGAAGTGATAAATGTCACATCCTTAAGCTAGAATATTCTAGTGGATCCATTTCAGAACCTAATCTTAGACTTCGGATATTTAAATTCTTTTTATACGTATTTCCTGAGATGAGTTTGGTGCTCTGCATACATCCTAAATCCTCTGGGTGAAAGGAGGGTCAACCCAACAGAAACATTCCTCTTCCCATTACCTCTCCATGGAATAGAGAAAGGCTAGGAAGAGACTTAAGGATTTGTTCATCTGGAATCAGAAAATCTCAGTGTTGGAGCCATTGTCCACATTTTTCTATAAAGAATTAGGTTCGGGATGTGAAATGAAGGTGAAATAAAGGGGAACGCAAAGTCTGTCTTTGGCTTTGTCTTTGGGAAGGAAGGATAGCAGAGATGCCACCCTAAAATATGCCTTTGGGGATAAAAATTATTTCAAGCTCATTAGTAAGGAACAAAAGACTCAGAAACAACCTCGGACCCTTCCCCTGTATCTGCCTAGAGGAATTTAGAAGGAGGACCTGCTCCAGGAAGGGAGCTCCAGATGTCACAGATAACTATAGTTTAATAAAAAAACTAGTGTGTGATAAACAGGGAGGAACCTGGCAAGGCCTATTTGTCCTAAGTCCTCTCTGTGTCCCATTGTTAAAATGGCCCAAGGAAATTTATTTACCTCATTTGCTTTTGCATCTCCATGTG